AAAATGAGAAAAAATTCACTTAAAAGTGTACATATGTACATATGTGTACATATATAGGTATATATAATATATACTTTTTATATTTACATACTTATATTTGTCATTCTATACTTAAAACAAAAACCTCCAGGTGGATTATAGATCAAAGTGCATATACATATATAAGGCACACTTTGACCTATAATCCATCTGGAGGTTTTTTGTTTGTTTTTTTAAGTATAGAATGGCAAAGGGAATCTAAATTTTTTCCGAATAGATAGTCACTTGTCATCACCATTTATTGAAGAGCACATCCTTTCCCTGCTGATCTAAAATACCACATGATCAGTACAAGGTAGTGACTAAAAGCTCAAGCCCAGGAGTCAGCTGCTTGGGTTATAGTCTGGCTCCATGGCTCACTAGCTATTTGCTTACTCTCTCCATGTCTTTTAGTTTTTTCATCTAGGAAATGGAGAAATTTTTCCCACTTAGTGGGGTTATTGTAAAAGTGCTTAAAACAGTGCAGACACCTAGTAGACACAATACATGTTAGCTATTATTATAGACTAAATTTGCACACACACATTGGTGTGTCTAGCCAATGCTGTCCAAAAAAACATAGTGTGGGCCAAATACGTAACTTAAAATTTTCTAGTAGCCGCATTAAACAGCTAAAAGATAAATGGTAAAAATAACCTTAATGATATATTTTATTTAACCCAATATATCTAAAACATTATCATTTCAACATATAATCAATATAATAATTAAGATACTTTGCATTATTTTGGTGCTAAGGTTTCAAAATCCAGGGTGTGTGTTACACTTAGAACATACTTGAGGAACTCAGTAGTGGCTACCACACGTGATAGTGCAGGGCTAGACTAGTGCATGACTTGGTTGTATATTCTTGGAACAATATCACGTGTGTACCTGCAAGAAAATTACTAAAAGAACTGAACAGCCACCCATAACTGAAAAAAATCTCTTGACAAACTAGAAAGAAGGAATCTTTTTTTAACATGATAAAAGGTATTTACAACTTATAGTAAATGTTATATTCTGTGGAAGAATGTAGAAAACTTTTCCTTTAAGATGGCGAAGAAATGAAGGGTGTCCACGCTCAGCAACTTCACTGGTGCTGTGCTGCAGGGTTTTCTAGCCCAATCTTTCTCAGCCACGGAGCCTCAGGAGAATTGGGCCTGAACGCTCTAGCCAGGGAAACGGGGCAAGAAAAAGGGCACAAGGATTGTAAAGAGGAAAAAAAGGAAACGATTATCTCACAGGTGGATTGACTGTCCATATAGAAAAGGTAAAAAAACCTAAAGATAAATTGTTAGAATCATTCACAGAGGTTGACAAGGCTGCTGTTTACAAAGTCAACATATAAAGCACAAATGCATTCCAATATATTAGCAACCAACAGTAATTAAATACCTGGTGATAAATCTATCAACAATGTGCAAGAGTTTAATGGAAGAAAATTCTAAAATTTTATTGAAAGACTTGAAAGAGGACCTAAATCCATGGAGAGAGAAAGTGCACTCAGGACCCAGCACACTCAGATGTCAGTTTTCCCAGAGGACCTACAGATTCAATGTAGATTTGCCACTGAAAATCACAATCCCAGCAGGTTTTACTTGTCTGTTTTGGGGGTTTCTTCACCACAATGAAGAGTAGCCCCGCTCACCACAACTAGAGAAAGCCCACATGCAGCAGCAAAGACCCAATGCAGCCAGAAATAAATAAGATAAAATAAATAAATTTATATGTAAAAATAACTATATACTTAAGAGTCTCAGAAATTATATTACTGAAACAAGAACAGGATGCTATCAAAAAGGAATATTCAGAGATAAAGAGTGAGTTCTTGCAAATTAAAAATAGCAAAAATAGAACATTCAGTAGAAAGGTTGGAAGATAAAGCAGAGAATCGTCTTAGTTCAGGCTGCTGTAACAAAGTACCACAGGCTGGGTGGCTTAAACAACAAATGTTTATTTCTCACAGTTGTGGAGGCTGAAAGTCTAAGATCTCAGTGCTGGCCTGTTTAGGTTCTTGGTGAGGGCCCTCTTCCTGGTTTATAGAGGTCTGTCTTCTCGCTGTGTCCTCACATGGCAGAAAGAGAGAGCTAGTTAACTCTCTGGCCTCTTCTTATAAGGGCACTTATCCCATCAAGGTGGCTTCACCCTCGTGACCTAATCACCTCCCAGAGGCTCCACCTCCAAACACCATCACATTAGGGTTTCAACATACGGGTTGGGGTGGGTGGGACACAAACATTCGGGCCATTGCAACAATATTTCCTAGAAAGCAGCTCAAAAAGGAGAGGAAAAGTAGGAGTGAAAAGATAAGAATAGTTAAAGGATTCACAATGGAGGTCCAGTGTCTAACTAATAGAAATTCCAAAAAACAAGAACTGGAAAAAAAAAAGGACAGGAATTTATTAAAGAGTATAAGACTTCAGACATAGGTTCTATCTGGTGGCTAACATAACGTATGAAATTTCACAATACTGAGTGTAGAAATAAGGTCCTAAAAGCTTCCTGAGAGGGGAAAAAGGTCTCATACAAAATATTGGGAATCAGAATGGTACCATCACTACCAGCAATACAGGAAGAGGAAACAGTGAGTAGTTGCCTCCACTATGCTGAGGAAACATGACTTCGCTTAGAATGCCACACCCAGCCAGACTGTCAGGTGTGAGAGAAGAGACATGCAGAATTCACAACAATGACGATGAAAACCCCCCCCTCCACAGCCTCTCTCTGTGAGTTGTTAGAGAATGTGCTCCATCTAAATGAGCAGGTAATCCAAGAAAGAAAAAGACCATGGAGTCGGAGCCTCAGGCCCAGGGGTGGGCAACGCCCGGGGGAGTGCTCAGGGGGCGCCCGAACGCGGGCCTCGAGAGCCACACGACCAGGCTGAGCAGGAGCGTGGAGGCCACCTCAGAAAACAGACCGCTCGGCGCGTTGGACAGTCTTGACAGTTGCATAGCTTGGTAGAGAGTCTGGCACGAGCAAACAGAAAAAAACAAAGGACGCTTAGTCCATTCTGTGGTTATTTTAATCATAGTACATTATATAGCTGAGTTGTGAGCAGTGTTTATGGGAATACTAAATACTGATTTAACCAGAAATGTTTGTGTAATTATACCGAGTGGGCGTGTGTATGTGTGTGTGTGCACGTGGGAGGGGGGTGGGGGTAAAAGGCGAGTCTTCATCTTCCATGGCGGGCAGTTGACGTCTAGAGGTGAAAACTCGAGAACAAGTAGTGTAACTAGTTCTTTCAAAACAGGGAGGTGACGAGCAGAAGAAATAGTCGAGAGACCTACGTCTGTGAAGCATGACTCGGGGGTGGGGGGGTGGGGAGTTGGGCAGGAAGCCGTGGTTTTCTGTTTTAAGCCTTAGGTACTATTTGCTTTTTATATGATGTGTGCATCTTTTGCTTAGAGAAACAAACCAGGCACGGTGGTGAGAGACGAGCCTGGAGAGGCACAGGGTCCCAGGAAGAGGGTCTTGAAACTGTGGTGATTACGGAGCTGAGACTTGGTAGGCAGATGTCAGGCCATTGAATTCTTCAGGGCCGGCTCCTGGGGCCTTTGGTTTGTGTTGTGCCCTCACAGCTCCACTCTCTGTGCTCTCCCTGGTCCTCTGGCCCTGTTGGATTGTGTAGGAGACTGGCGGGCCAGGGGACAGTGAGGTCAAGGTGTTTTCTCCCCGCCAGGTAGCTAAGGTCGGCTGAACCCTCTACCTGCGGTCCTGCCAGCGGCCTACTCCGCTGCCCAGCAGGCCTGGCCTGGGTCAGGGCCGCCCCCCGTCACTGGCCCTGATGCTGCGTCTCTCCCTGTGGTCTCCCTACACTCCACCCTCACTTTTATAGACAGTCCCTCTCTTCTCTCCAGACTCCCACTCTGAGTGCGTCTCTGTCTCCTTGGGATCGTGACTGACGTGGGTATTGTGCTGAGAAAAAGACTTTTCCCAGAACGTTACGTGAATATTCATGGAAGCTTTCTTTCAGGTTACATCCTGATAAACCCATCATAAGTTGAAAATGTTGTAGGTCAAAAATGCATTTAATACACCTAAACTGAACATCATAGCTTAGTGCAGCCTACCTTAAAGGTGCTCAGAACACACACAGTTTGTTTTGCCCCCTGCAGTGGGGCAAAATCATCTAACACAGAGGCTGTTTTGTAATAAAGTGTTGATTTTCTCATGTAATGGCTTGGATACTGTATTGACACTGAGAAACAGAGCAGTTGTCTGGGTCCAGGATGGTTGTAAGTGTATCGGTTGTTCACCCTCGTGATCATGGGCTGACTGGGGGCTGTGCTCACTGCTGCTGCTGCCCAGCATCACAGGAGAGGATTGGACCCATACCGCTAGCCCGGAAAAGAGCAACATTCAAAGTATGGTTTCTACTGAATGCGTGTTGCTTTCACACCATCATAAAGTCGAAAAATCATAAGGCAACCATTGTGGGACTTCCCTGGTTTTCCAGTGGTTAGGGCTTCGTGCTTCCACTGCAGGGGGCATGGGTTTGATCCCTGGTCGGGGAACTAAGATCCTGCATGCTGCAAGGTGCGGCAAAAAAAAAAAAAAAAAAAAAAAGTCAACCATTGTAAGTCGGGGACTGTCTGTATACTTATCTCTTGAGGTAAGTATATCTCAAGGATAAATATATCTCATATATTGTATAATATATGTGGTTATACAGGTTAACTATGACAGATATGAGAGATATAGAGATATAAAGAGATATGTATATATAGTTAAATTTTACATGTAAAAGACAGAGAATGAGAATATAGTATATAAAACAAAAATCTGGAAAAATGTAAAGAATATATACTGAAATGTCATCAGTGGTTATCCCTGGGTGCCCCCCCCCCGCCACTACTATAATTAATTTCAGTAATAAACATGTGTCATGAGTATAGTAAGAGAAAAGAACAGTTTGGTGCAATATATTAGAACATAGAATGGGGATGAAATTGAACTTGTATTGGGAATAATTCCCTTAGACTTTTTTTCTTTTGGCCTCTAAAATCTGCCTTCTACTTTTATCCTGTGACCTCACAACATACTGTAATGATTACGATCTCTTAGTCATGCTCTTGGGAAATGCGCTATTATCTCATTGTGAGACAACCAGGGGTTTTTAAGTGATTCCATTCTAAGAAGGTACTTGGGAAGTGAAGAAACACCAGCTCTGTCTGCTGCTTTGGGTGAATCTGAGACCAGAAGTGCCACTGTTACTCGTTGGACTCCAGCCTCAGACTGCTTCCAGGGAGGAGGTGGTTAACCTCTAGGAAGCTACTTGAGCTTGACTTCAGGAACTGGGTGGTGGCCGCGAACTGGGAGTGACGCTTCTGTGGCTGGAGGCTGATTGGTCCAGGAGTGTGGCCAACGAGTTCCCTGTCGGTCCAGGAAGCAGCTCTGAGCTGTCCCGGTGGCTGGACAGCTCACAGGTATTCCTGCCCCACCCTGCCCTGCCTCCCAGGGAGTCTTTGCTCTGAGTTCTCCTTTGAAGAACAAAACCCAGCAACCTTCAGGGTCCTACTGTGACAGAAAAGATGGTCCTTAAAACCAAAGAAGACGATGGTGAGTCCCAGTCCTGGCTTGGGTATATGGGGTGGGGTTTAAGTAGCTCTTTTGATTGACATGTGAAATTCTGTGACGACAGTTTTACTGCCTCTTGAGGAGTACCGACCGAGAGGCTCTTGCCTCTGTGTGTGTGTGAGAGAGAGAGAGAGAGAGAGAGAGCGCGCGCGCACGCAAGCCAGAGAGATTCTGTGTTTTTAAACTGAAGACGTCCCCCAGCCCCCACCCCCACTCTTTACTTTTCATTGAAGATCCCCCTGGGAGCGTCTTGGTGGCATGTGCCCTCCTACTTGGTGATGGTGTCTGATTTCCTGAATCTGAGCAGCAGTCTTAGAAGCTCTGCAAGTTGCGTGTACACCCAGAGTGAGTGTACACTAAAAAGGAAAGATGTTAGAGACCAGGTTGAAAGTATCGGTGAGGTACAAGATGAATAATAACCATTTTTATTAAATAAAAATGTAACAAAGAGAATATCCATAGTTATTTGATCTTCCTCTTTTGGTATTAAGTAAAGACTGTCTGAAGCCTCGTCAGGTCTGGGGAACTTCCTTCATCTTCTCCACACCCACACTGTAAACAGTGAAGCAATGAGTAAAGGGGTGACAAATTTTGTGGATTATAAATCCCAAAAGCTTTTGCAGAAGAACTGGCTTAAAGCACCCTAGGTCAGGGCTCTCAAACGTTCTGAGGTTAAGTTGTGTGTGTGTATGTGTGTATGTTTTCTTGTGATGCTTTCATCAGATGGCCATGTTTGTTTGTTTTTTTGCGGTACGCGGGCCTCTCACTGCTGTGGCCTCTCCCGTTGTGGAACACAGGCTCCGGACGCGCAGGCTCAGCGGCCATGGCTCACGGGCGCAGCCGCTCCGCGGCATGTGGGATCTTCCCAGACCGGGGCACGAACCCGTGTCCCCTGCATCGGCAGGTGGACTCTCAACCACTGCGCCACCAGGGAAGCCCTGGGGAATTCATTTGTTCTCAACTCCTGGCTCGGAGGCTTGACTGCTCTGAAGCCACTTGGTCCCTGGTGTCCTCTGAGGCCTGGGCAGGCGTGGCCACTGTGGCAGCATGTGCTACCACCACAGGCTCGCACACCTACCCCTCTGGCCTCTCCCTTCTGTGCAGGGCATGGGCTGGAGCTCTTTAGATCCCAGCTCGGAGCACAGGCTGGGCATATGCAGATGCACAGTAAACGCTGAGCTGAGGTGGCTTTTATTATTCCCGTGAGAGAAAATAAAGAGCTGAGTGCTCAGCCAGTGAGTTTGAATTGGGCTTGGGCTGTTTGTGGATTATTTATACTCACTGAGTCTTACCTCTAAACTGGAGGTAATAGTGCATAGTTCATTGGCAGGAAATGCACAGAGTTCATAGTCAGACTTTGCTGTCAAGTTCAAATAAAAATAGAAATGAAAAAAGATTTTAAGCCATGGATACTATGTGAGTATAGGATAGTGTTATTTATAGGAAAATATGCTGAATAGAATGGAGTTAAATAGAGTGCCTCTCCTTTAGGACATTGGATTTTCAGGTTGCGTCTAGAATACTCTCTCTGATGGTAACTTACCCCTCATCCCGTCCTCTAAATGTGTTCCTTGTCATTGTGCCAGCCTTCTGTTGGGCAGTTGCTGAGGTCGAGGCGAGTATTAAACAGAAAAGCAGAGGTGCTGTAAGTGAACATCTGTAGATACTCCTCACTCCCTTCCTTAGGGGTTGAGTTTGTATTTTGCGAAATCAAAAATGGTTACATCTTTATTTTTAAGCTAGAGCGCTTGGCACTGTACAAAGCACACATCTCAGCAGACCTGCATCACCATCTGCTGGGACCAGTTTTGAAGGGGACTCGCTCTGGTCCGGATTTCATAGGTTCTAGCCTGGATTTCATAGGCTGTCTGTGGACCGCACCAGCGTGTGTGCCCGCAGCGTTGAACAGAGGGTCAGGACTGCCCTTTTTTCTTGATGAAAGACATGAACAGAAACAGGGCTCGGGTCCTGCTCTGAAAAGAGCGGACCTTTATCCATCGTCTGAGGCTTTCTGCAGCTTCCCAAGTTCTCTTTGGTACGGAACATAAATGCATAGGGCTGGCTGCCAGTGGTCAGGACCCAGCATCCAGGAGGCGGGTGGAGTGTGGAGGGCAGCAGGTGGAGTTGTCTGAGGAGCCAGCATTGTGGAAAGGAGAGGCAGGGAGTGTGGGTCTTGGCAGGACACAGGTCTGGGGCCTTAGGGGCCCCCAGCCTGCCAATGGGCAGTGGAGACGAGGACAAGGCAGGTGCGGTAGATCTGGACAGGAGGCGTCAGGACCTTGTGGTGCAGCCCTTCCTGTGGCTCTGGAAGATTCGCTGAATATGTTTGTGGTGGGGGGCTGGCAGCACAGGACCTACATAGAGTTTGCTGCTGGTTACGTTAAACATGGAGGGATAGACGTCCTGGAAGTTTTTTATAATATCCATTTCTCACTTTTCCCTTGCATTTTGACAGCCTTCCAAAGGCATCTTTACTGAATTTACATTGTTCTTGTCTCTGCTCCTCTTTCTGTTTGTTGCAGCCCAGCTGAGATTTCCTTTTTAGAAAAAGACTCTTGTAACTGCTGCTGTCTTCTCCTGTTACCTTGTGAAGAGCTTCCACTCATGGGGATTCAGATGGGCTCATTTTGAAGCTGGGACAGTCACTAGATGCAGAGGGGCCACAGGCTTGTGGGTCCGCGGCTCCTGGCGGGGGACATGGAACTCCGCCGGGGCTGGCGTTGGGCAGCACTGCTGAGATGTGCTGCTCTTGGGACCCATGTGTCCTCTTCCTGAGCCCGTGCTGGGTGTGACATACCAGTGAAAACGGGGACAGAAGTCAGTCCTGCTGCCCTCGGCTCTGCTCATGGTCAGGACTTGCCCCGCCGCTCCTTCCCTTCTTAGGAAGATAATTTCTTGACTTTTGTATGTCCTTTCTTCCTTACCCTATGGAGAAATCATGAAAGCTTAACTTCTGACCTAGAAAAATGCAATACATTTCTTTTCTAAGTCAGTGGCTGTTTCTGCGTCTCCTCTCTTTCTGGCATCTTAAGTCTCTTCTGTTAAGCATTCAGGATTCTGATTCATAGAAATACGTTGGAATCCCACGTAGACAGCGTGGCATGATGGTATAGTTGCCTCAGGGATTTCACACGCATTATAACAGGCCTCAAGTATGTTCCTTCCACTAAAGGAATAATTAGTCATTAATCTGAGCAAATGTTTTGGGGTAAGTGGCTGGTGACATTTCCATATTTTCTCTGAATAGAAACTTCAACATACAATTTTGCCTCACTTGTGGATCCAGATACACAGAAAGGTATAAAATGCGGTGTCGCTGCCTCTGCTTGCTCCCTGTCCACACTCCTCGTCTCTGAACAGGGTCCCTGTTGACAGTTTCAAGTGCGTCCTTCTCAGATCTTGCGTTTGCCAGCACTGGTGCCACACGCATGGTGTCCTGTTCCTTCCCGTGGCACAGTGTCTGGGAGATCTTTCTGTGCTGGCATCTACCAATCAGCTCGTTCTTTTTCATGACCAAATCGTGTGTAAGTAGTTTTCATTTTTGCATTTTTGGGAGTACGTCCATTGGATAAGTTCTTAAACGGAATTGCTGAATTGAAAAGTACTGCAGCAGAAAGGTTGCGCCGTTTACTCTCCCCCAGCAGAGCCTGGGCCGCCTGTGTACTCCCGCGCCCTTGGCGGACACTCTCATTTCTGCCAGACTCACCTGAAGCGGTGTGGTGTTCATGCTTTAACTGGAGAGTTTAAGCGTCCTTCATGTCTGGCCATTGTGTTTGTCTTTCTGGGTCTGCTTTTTATGTCTTTCGCTGGTTGTGTCCACCTTTGTCTTACTGCTGTCCTTGTGAAAAGAAGTTAATCGTCTGTCATGTATTTTGTACATTGGTTGTCCTGGTGGTTTACCTTTTAGCTCATAGAACTTTATTTTCCATTCTGAAGCTTTACATTTTATTGTAGCAAACTGAACAGACTCTCTGAGATTATAACCGTATTAATCCATGCTTTATTCTAGAATTTCTGTGGTTTCTTTTTTTACATTAGAATCTTTGACTCAGCTAGAACTTACTCTGATATAAATGAGTAGACATGCAGCTTACTTTGCCCTCAGATGGGCAGCTGGCTAATTGCCCCCCCCCACCATTGACTGAATAATCCTATTTTTCTTTATATTTTTGTATATTTTAAAAATATTTTCTTTATGAGATTTTATGACTTGAAGTGCCACCTGTGTGTTTCAGTATCTCTTGAGTTTCTTTCCTGCTGTTTTCCTTCTCCAGTGCTGAAATTTCAAATTTTTGATGTCTCAACGCTCTAATCTCTGGCAGAGGCTCACCTCACATTACCCTTCTTCCTCTTCATAGTTTTCTAGGCTATTCATACATACATTTTCCATATGAACTTTAATATCGTTTTATCTGTTGCGCTCCTGTGAAACTCTTGTTGGTAAGGTAAACAGTAGTTTTAGAAACGGATGCACATACTGAGGACAGCTTTTCCCCGCAGAGGTCTTTCTGCCCGTGCTCAGATCTTCCTTGTTTTCTTGGTGACTTGCTCCTGGCACAGTAAGCGCGCTGGCTTGCGGGGCATTTACTGGTAGCCCTCTCACGGGTCAGCTCGCCTCCTTGAGCTGGTGGCTGTGAGGCACAGTGCAGCCCTGGGTCTCTGCGGACAAAGCATTGCCCACCGCCTGCCTCAGCCTCCTCGTGGCCCCATAGTCCTCCCCTCCTTCCTCCCTACAGTCTCCTCCTGTCTCTGCTGCGCCCTCTGCAAAGGCCAGGAGGGAGAGGATGGCTGAGAGCAGCCCCGGCAGGGATGAGTCCCCTGCACTGGTGCCGGGAGCAGGCCCCATCAGGGAGGCTGGCCCTTGCCTGCCCCAGCTCTGCTGCCTGTGAGCGGACCCAGGGCCACTGGGACCCGGAGAGCGGGCGCCTGGGTCGGTGCCTCCAGCTCCTCTCAGGCTTCTCTCAGACCTCAGGGGCACTTCT